TGTGATTGGTTGGTTGACATTCATATGTTTATGTAGTCAGCCATCAGTGTGGCATATTTCCAACAATACTTAGCATTAAATATTAACACCAGAGTTTTGTATCAGAAGAGATTTTTAAACATTTTTAGCGGACTTCCAGTCCATGGAACTAAAATTAGTGGAAACTAATTGGTTGGCTGCTGGTTTTCAAAGTTGGCTGAAAAGCTAATCTGCTAATGAAAAAGTTAGCTTCACTGATTAGCAGTTAGCATATTAACTGAACTGTGCCCACCACTGAGCAAAAGCCATATAACTGGGAAAATTTTCTTAACACATTGACTCTGAAGTGGTACATATGTTTACCACGAAATGTATTTCTCCAGGAGGTAGTGGTACATAATTCATGTTGCCTAAAATTGGCCAAATCTGAGAACAAAAAAGGCTGATAACTCAATATATACTAGTTTATTTGTAGGTTCTGCTATAAAAATTTCATTTATTTTCTTTTTGCAGTATTTGAAATTTAATTTGGAAGTACCCCTATCATGATTTTAGCCGGCCAACGCAATTGAGAAAAACTAAATCACAGAATTTGTCCAGAAAAAATGACTGTTTGGCAACCCTGCTTAAAAACAGTACAAAAAATGAAATAATAGTACAAGATGAAGCAATCGTAGTCAACGTGTTAAGTAATAAGCATTTTTTCTCATTCAAAAGTTGCTTCTAGCAAATTTTCATCTATGTGTTGTGTTGATTTTGAATACATGAAACACCAATTTCAATACTTGAGCCACCACCCAAGCTGGCTTGGGCCAAAGCTGTGCAGCAGATGTTATGCCAACCCAGAGCCTGGGTGTTGCCAGCTCTGGGAACTTGAGCAGAAGAATGAGAAGGTACTTGATTGTGTGGGAGTTCATGACACTGGGGGCATAGGTCTGAGTGAGTGCTATCCAGGCAGTGTTTGTAGTAGTGTAGTGAGGGATAGTAGGAGTATAGTGAGGGATGGTTACCATAGTAGAGTGCCCCCTATCTGCATGATTTAACTGCTCCTCTATATGGCTGATGTCTGGCAGTGTGTCGTCTATGATAGTGTTGATTGGTAGAATTGAGAGTGCTTTCTGGGTTAGATGTGTTTTATAAAGTTGGCTCGGTCTCTGGTGGAGGCAAGGAGTTGAGTATTGTGAGATAGTAGTTGTAATGTATGGAGTGTGAGCTATTTGCCTTGGTGTAGGTGGTAAATGCTGAAAGTGATGGCAGTGGATGAAGAGTTTGTAGACTGCTGTTGCTGATGCAAGGAATTTGGTGCCCCTCATACATAGGTGTTCTTTCAGAAGGTTTCTGCATAGGTGTTCTTTGGTTTCTGCATGGACACTGTTCCCGTGTATGCCGCGGGGGGATTAACTCGTAACCCACTTAAGTGAAGCTGAATTGGTCTAATATGGTGTAAGTAAAGAGTTGCCAGAAGTGTTCTGTTTTATTATGGGATTTTAAAATACAACTGACATGCCGATGAATGTACAAAGAGAATATTGCATATAGTGCTTTAGGTCTATGGGACTTGTTTGTCTCTCACCAAAGATTGCCATGATTGTGTCTCACCAAAGATTGTCATGATTGCCTCTCACCAAAGATTGTCATGATTGTGTCTCACCAAAGATTGCCATGATTGTGTCTCACCAAAGATTGTCATGATTGCCTCTCACCAAAGATCTCATGATTGCCACTCACCAAAGATTGCCATGTTTTTGTCTCACCAAAGATACAAAAAATGGAACTCAGTAATCACTGCAGTGAGTGACAGAGCGCATTTTCTTGTCAACGAAAACACAAAGTCATGGATGGACAGACAGATGGACAGACGGACATGGCGAGCACAATAGTGCATTTTTTTCATAAATGAGAAAATGCGCTAAAAATCAAACAGCAAAAAGAAAACATGCCAAGACAACGTAATAATTATGCAAAATGATCTTGCTAAAACTTTGGGCATGCACAATTTTAGCATGTCACTGAAAGTTCTATCAAATGCTTATGGCTACATTGATCTGTCTGATTTTTGGTGGAGAGCTGGAGAAAAACATAGGGAACAAATCCTGACCTTCCAAAATTTTTTAACTCTATTACTTTTCGAGTTACAGCCATTCAAAGTTGAGTATCATTTTTTTGGGACACCCTGTATATTGTTTGTACACTAGTGTGAGGGTTTATTTGTTCTATCCAAATGTTAATCCTGTGAGGGCTCTAACTGTGTTTAGCCTAGGTCTACATTTTTTATGTTCTGTATATGTGGCCTGAAAAACATGGAAGTGTTTTATGTGACACCTAGAATCTTGGTTTCATATGTGTGGGATGATAGGATGGTTTATTTTAGTAATGTTCTTGTTGATTTAGTGGGAGGCTACTTGGAGTCTCTTGCATTCTAGACAGCCCTCTAGATGTGTGATGTAGGTTTGTACTTGTATGGAGCATGTGTTAGCATTGGTTTGTTGATGTAATTGTGATGTCTGTGTAGGATGAAATGTGAATGTTGTCTGGTAGGGCTGGAATGTCATGCATGTAAAAATTGAAAAGGGTTTGTGAGAGGACTGATGATCCTTGGGGTACCCAATTTTTAATATTCTTTGTGTGATGACTGCCATTGCAGTGTAAAAATGACTGTCAGCCTCTTGAGTAATTGGCAAACTGGCGGCATCTGGTAATGTGATGTATGTCAGATGCCTTTTGGTAGAGCAAAGTAAGGATTTAATTTATAATTCACAACAGGATCCAATAAGTTCTTAATTGTCCAATCAATACAATGGAAGGTGAATGAGGAGTCTTTTAATTCACTGAATACTTATTTAGGCTTAGACTCGAGGTTTATACAGATATTCCAGAGTTGGTACAGATAATAATATTGACACTATTGCATTAGACACAATTGCTGGAACCGTCATAAGTAGGTGTGAATAGAGGCAGACTGTCAAAGCAGCATTGGTTAGTTGGTTACTTTCTGTTCTGCGAGTGATACAGGGAACATTTGTGGAGCTTATAAAGACACACAACAATGATGTCACAGGTGACACAGTAACTGCATAGGCAAGTTTAGGAGGTAATGGCAGACAACCTGACATGTAGTGTTGTTTTGTAGATTTTGCCTGTGACTAGGGTTGGCATCAAAGGCTTTGCAATGTTGATTGTAATCAAGAGTGTGCATTGTGTGAGGAGCTCAAACTAAGCTGAAATTTTTGTATTTTGCTAGAAAGCTTGTTTATTACTAATTATATTAAACTCCCCATCATAGAATTCCACTCTGCTGTGACACTAGCTTCAGCATTGAACTCAAGACAGCTTCTCTATTAAGAGATACATAAGGCATTTTATAATAAGAAAGCAAAAATGTTAGAATGGTGGCGTTGCTACTCATAGACTGTTATATAGTATGCACAATTGATCAACAATGGTGATTCATTGACTTAAAAACAGCATCATATCTGGCAACCAACATTTTTGATTCCTCATTGAAATAGATAAAATTTTTGGAATGTTGGTTTCATGATTGATCTTATGGAACCCAGAAATAATTTATTACTTTTTTCAGGCAAGTATAATGATTGAGCTGAGCCATGATGGGCATAACATTTGCCCCTGCGTCAGAAGTATTAAAAATATAGCCAATGCACCACTTTATTGTAGATGTGAGCAACATTTACTGGTAGTTCAGGCTTGAAATGGGTACAGTGGGCAAACTAGATTTGGTTACTCAGCCATTTGTTGCTTCATGTGATATAGTAATGTCATATAAAGCTTTACTAATACCGTCAACTGGGGTGACTTCGGCCACACCTACAACAGAAACAAATGGCAGCAAAACAAAATAATAAAAATTGGCCAAAGTGACTGGAGTGACTTTGGCCAACATTTATTATTTTGTTTTGCTGCCATTTGTTTCTGTTGTAGGTGTGGCTGAAGTCACCCCAGTTGATGGCAAGAATTATTTTTAATCCATGTGAAAATTGGTGATGGTACCTTGTCCCAGCTACTGCTGTTTTTTTTTATTTGTTTGTAATAGCTTAAACTCCATCTCCATATGAAGACTAATTTATTTTTGACAAATTTCCATCACAATATATGATTCAATTTCCCTAAAACTTGAAAGAATTTAGTTGGACTACAAAAGCAACACAACTCCCTCCTGCAACAAAATATGTTATTGACTTATTGTACATACTTTAGTGATACTTCAACAGAGCTTTATATTTTTTTGTTATTCTCCATATTTTAATTCATTTATATTGTTACCAGGGTTTTGTATATGCTTCTTAGCTCAACTTTCATGTTCTTTTATTGCCTTCGTGATGATTACTCATTTTAAGTCATGTGTACTATTGCATGATATTACAAGATATTACATTATATGTGTATATCTATACATTTACATTTTGCTATCCCATACTTTCATTTATTAGTCATAGTTTTTTTTAGAATTTTTCATCATCTTTTATTATTTTAGAATATTTCATCATCAGTTGTTTCCATTTAGGTAGTCAATTATTTGGAAAACAGGTTTGTCTTGCCTGCAGCCACAGACATTAGATGTGGCAACAATATCGAGTAAATTTAATTGTGATGAATTACTGGCATTTATATGTTTTGAAAGTAAAATTTTGATAAAATTTCCTTCATTTCCATGAATAAAATACAGAAGAGTATAACTGAATATTCAATTTGGTTGAAAGTTTTTTATCTGTACATAAAAGACCATGTACTAACTTTAGCATTGCTTTTCAACTATAACCAACAAAAGTTACTTTGCAAAACATCCTTACTAATGTACTTGTACTTGTTATTCAACCTAATTGACTTGCAGTTACTGAAAAATAAACCTTTTTTGTGTATGAAGCTGTTGTTTTAGAAGTAGGAGATAAATGTTAGAATATCATATTAATTAAGATTAAATATCATGCCAAAAGAAGTTAGGAGCCTCATCTCAATTCTGCCATAGATTAGCTATCAATTAATTTATTTTCCTCATTGAGCAGGTCAAATGAGACTTTGGGGTTACAAATTTCCTGACCTCACGTCTAAAATTGCACCCGTGAACATAGCTATTGTGGATTTACCTTTATCAGTAAGTTTACTCCTAAACGTTTAGACTTTGCTGGTCTGTATCGGCCTAACTCTATTTTAACCAGTAATCAGTTTGTCTACTTCTATTTTATTGTGAATGGATAAAGATTATGCAATTGTAATTTATCTTTCATTTCTAATTTGTAAGATTTCTTGATTTTGCATGCATTGTTCCTTAATCGATCATGCAATTCTGGCATTTATATTAGTTTGTCTTGGAGTGTCAATTTTGAAATGTGACAGCTAACAATATGTTGTAATACATAAGCATTATAAAAAAGGCTATTGGAGCTGTAGTTGACCATTATTTGTTTGACAGATTTTGCAGAAAAATCTTGAAATGTGATTCTATCCTCTTCACATTTTTTTCCAATTTTTTTTGGAGCCCAATGACTTTGGTATCTAAATAATTGAGGTGGCACTGTATAAATATGTGTTCATGACCATAGTATTTTGTGCCAATATCTTCTGACTATATATAAATAATTACCATATTATTCAACTGGCAGTTCATGATTAGATTATTTTTTATATGTCAACTAATGCAACTTATTTTTTTTACCAATAATCACAACAACTGCAATCAATTTCAATTTTTTTAGAGCATAAAAATAATTTTGCAAATAATTTTTATTTGAATCTTCATCTTTTGATTTTTATTTGAAATTGAATATCAGGTTACTAAAGATGAGATAGCGGCGCAGTTTTCTATTGATCTCGACTGCATCACCCTGAAGCGGAAGCGTGGCAAGAAGTCTGCCTCTGCCATCATTGTTCTCCCTAGCTGGCGTGAAAGTGCTAGGCGAGTTGAGAAAGTCTAATAAGCATGTTGTGTAGTTTTGATGATGTTGTGAGAAACTGGAGCAATTCCCCACTTGCCTTTCTGTCCTGCTAAAACATTGGTGTCATAGTTTGGTTGGCTGATAAAGGTATGGCCTCAAAGTATTAATTCCATACTGAATGCTGAAAAAGACCTCAATTTCCCAATTACTCTTTCTGATGCCATTACTAATTGATATAGCTTGAGTTTGAAAGTAACGCCTTTTTCATTTCTGTCAGAATTTGTAGCATCAATGAAATGGTTTGAGACATTTGTTACAATATAAGAATTATTTCTGTATTAGTGTAGGAAGACTTTAGATTAGGTTCACACCAGTAGTGGATTTCTGGGAAAATAGAGAGGCAGCAAGAAGTTGGCTAGATGTCTCAAAAGGTGCATTTTTCTGATGTGCTAGCTGCAATATCCACTCTAACTTGCTGTTATTTTCAGTTACAGTTCCAAATGCATGGATTTTAAGGGTACCAAAATCATATTAGTGTATGTTTTGTCACTTTTATTTCTGCCTATCTATAAAGCCCTTTATTTGCACAATTTCCATTGGTCTCATTGCTGACCCTACTGCCACATTACTTGCTGGATAAAAACCTGTCTTTTCACTTGAATTATTGTATTTAACACCTTACGTTGCACCTCCTATAATATTTTATCAATGCATTGGAGTGTAACTACAGCTTTGCCTTATCTTACTGATTCTACTGCATTTGCTGACCTTTATTGTTACTTGTTCTACTTACAACTATCATTTCACTGATAGGCTTCTTAGCCACTTCCCAAAACTGCAAACAGCAATATTATAGAAGACAGGTAAATTATGAGGTGGAGAAAAATGAGTTTGAGGAAGAGATAGTTCTTTTCTGAGAACTAAGGTTTTCTTGGTATTGATACCCCAGACACTAATTACAAGGGGGTAAAATTATGTTTCTAGAGGGCATTGAAAACATTCTGGAAAATTTTTCTTTAATTGTACTTGATAAAAGTTTAAAAGTTTTTAATTGTACTCGATAAAAAGTTTATTGCAAATAGGTACTTCTTTTTCAGAATTTTGAGTAGTCTTGATGCAGTGTTCTTTGGGAAGCATAAAGCATTTTTAAGACAATCCTATGACTCGGACGCATCACGACCCTCATCACAGCACTACAAGCCTCATAGACTGTCCAGTGAAGAGTTTGACTTGAGCCCTGCACGCAGTGGACAGCCTACTCTTCATGTCCTCAATGATGACGTCTTGCTTCATATTATGAAATATTTGAATGTTGCTGAGAAACTGATGCTTGAAGCAGGTACGTTGCATGAATGAAGCAGCTTATCAGCTCAGGCTGTATGGCAGCAGCTATTTTAATCGATCCATTTATTGTTATCATGTGAGTTAACTGTAGTTGCTATTAAATTAAGGTAATACATTTATGTCATACATCATTATAGAAAATTTAAATTTGACTAAGCAATAATGAAGAGAACGAGGAGCACGATATTTTAAATGGTACTGACAGGTGTATCTCCAGCAAATGTTTAATGAACATTTCCGTTTGCCTTTTTTTATGGTCTTGGCATTTCTCTTTACATTACTACACTCTATTGAACGTAAATTAATTCCTCCCCGTAATCACCTGCTTTCTGTTCGGCTGAAGTTTTTTTCCAGACGTCGTGCGGTTAAACAGGAAGAAGCAAGCTATTACCTATTATCAATATTCTGCCTTTTTATAAAACTCGGTATATTTCTGGGTTCATTCTTGTTGCAGTGTGTCGACGCTTCCAGTCTCTGGTTTACCGCGAGCTGGGCCAGAATAACGTCATAGACTTCTTCACTGATGACGGCTGCGTCTGGCAGAGTGCTCACTCCAACCTCCCCATATGTCGCAGGTGGGCTTTTACCGGCTGACCTTGATGGAAGTAATGCAGGGAATTGAAGGCATCGTATTGTGATTGTATTTTTTACAAGATAGTTGCCCGCGTTTGGCCGTGGGGCTCGAAGTATTCTGACAGGATTAAAAGTAGCGGCGAACGTCAGGTGACACTTATAAATATCACAATATTTTGACTCAAGTGTACATGTACTAGGCTGTGTCATCCATTCTTTCTGCCAAGTTTTTGCTTGACACATATATTGCCTTGTTTTGTATTATTATTGATATTTTATGACTGCATAGATGCTTGCTCTGCATTTCAGCGAGTCGCCAGCCCAGCTCACGCAGGGCCTCAAGCTCTGCACCTACAAGATGCTCATCATGAACGCTAACCACCTCACTACTCTCAGACTCGACGAGTATCGCTGCATCTTTGATGTCAACGTATTTGCTGCTATAGGTACGCAGTTAAATTTGTCCCTACTTCTTCTAAGTCAGACCCATAAACTACAATATTTATGAGTAGCTACAAATTTCAGTTACAAAGCCGTTCAGATTCTTTTTTTATTTCATTCGTGTTGCTCTATTAAATTGTTCTCTATATTTTTTGTTAGAAACTCTGAATAAAGACTAGTTAAAAGATTCAAATAGTCTAGTTGAGTTCATGAACGAATGTTTTGCAAATAACTAAGAACACTAATAGTTTTAAATTTTAGGTCGACTTGCTGTGAATTTGGAGGATTTGTGCCTGCAGTTCTCGTTAAAGAGAAGTCACTACACTCCTATGAAGACCATTTTCTCGCGCTGCACCAAACTCAGGACTTTTTGTCTCGAAGTGAGGATTGTGTTATGCAAGGTGGTAACGATGGTGCATTGTCCGCGCCTGTGTATCATGCATGGTTGTCTAACAAATGCACGTTATCGGCACAGATATACCAAGCTGGTCTGAGTTGTTATAAAGATGCATTGTCGGAATTTATCGACCTGTACATTGACGTACAGGTCGATCTTAAAGATCAACACTCACTTCATGTGGTGGTCATTTCCTGGTCGTTAGTCGCTCCAACACTATTGCATATTTTTCCAGTGGTATTTTCCCTACGTTGTGTGCGACTTGCAACTTCTAAATCTTAGCGATTAGCTCAGAATGTTTTTCAAGTTTTTTTTTTCGAGTGGGTGTTACGATCTGCTGACAGTTTTGGGATTCTGCTTCAGATGAGTATTTTATCTTTATTTTTTATACTACAATCTCGATAAAATGGTAAAGATAAATTTCGTTGGAAGTGTTCCAAAAATTTATTAGTTACGTTCGGGGAATACGAGGAATTTGCTTGAGACCCTTCGAAGTGCTAATCAACGAATGTTTTTTCTAGGGCAGAATTGACACTGACGAATTGCTGCGAGACTTGCAGCAATGCAAATGTTTGGAAGTGTTGCGGCTGGGCAGAGTGGAGAATCTTAACTGGGCTCTTCTAAGCAAGTTGAAAATTCCTCTGAAAGAGCTGTCAATCCACAACGTTGAAACGTTAGAAAACTTTTATTCGTTAGAAACGAATGAATGCCATCTGGACTTCGCATTCAACTCAAGCCTCACGGCATTCCGCATGTTCAACAATATCTTGCTGCCAAATCTGTAAGTCGAATACCGCCCAACAGATTTCAGGGAAACTAGGTTAAAGGAGTAATGCTTTAGAGGAAGTAACATATTGGAGAAATGTAGTTAGCGGTTGGCATGGATGAAATTCTAATGGTTGATGCTCCTCATGAGCGACTCAGATGAAGATCAAGCTTGCTGTTTTAACGGAATATATTACGTGATTAGCTAAATATTTGAACAAACTTTATCTGCATGGAATCTCTATCTTCAAGTAGATGTGTTCTCGTTATAATGCATTAGGGCAGTTTCTCTGACAACAAATCTTGATGTATCTCATAAATAGTTTGATTTGTAAAATGTGGCAAATTTTTATTTTAATTTTCATATCAATGCTGTGATGAAAAGGCAGAAATGTGTGTGAAATGCGCATCACTACTAATGAAGCCTTGGCTCATTGAAGACCTTTTGAAGCCTATATTAGTTTTGTTTAAAATCGCCTAAATGCGAGCATCATTTCTGAATTGGCTTGAAAATGCTTATAAAATATATTAGTTAATGTTTCTTTAATTGTCCCTTGCCGTGAAGTTGAGTATAGTCGAATCAAGCTGTTTATTCTCGCGGGTCCGTAAATCAGCACGAAAATTATTTTAAGGACCTTTCCTACAATGAACGTGCTTGCCGGAACATCATGAGTAAATATCTGAGTTGCATTTAATAAGGATGAGACTGTCATGCGAAGTCGAGTTGTTGTTGTTGTAATAGCCCATCCTGGCAGTGGCGACTAGGTAAGGGAGGGGGTGATAGGTCAGTTTTTCCAGGCACTCGGTGCCACTGGTAGTTATACGACCATCACTGGCTCGCTGACCCGCCAGAACCATTCAGTTGCATTACACAACAGACATTACACTTTGTCAGTTGCATTACACTTTGTCATATTACTTGTTGTATTTCTTGCATTAAGTCATTTGACTTTACGAGTGATATTTGCTGTGCTTGGCGTGCAGGGAAATTTGGCTGGGGGAAACTCTGTTGTCATCCATGGCTCGCAAGTGTCCTGCCCTGACCCAACTCCAGCTTGATTGCTCCTGGTATTCGTCACGCAATTTCAAGCCATTCAATAACTTGAAGGTAGGAAAATTGACCTTGTTTCTAACCTGCAAAAATTCATTCATAAAGATATTGGCCAAGATTTCTATCTGAGACGCGTGTGTACGAAGATTGTTCTGATTAGTCTCAAACCCGAATCGTAATTAACCATTCGTGTGCCATGCCAGCTGATGAAATTGTTTGTTTCATTGTTCTTTTGACGTTTCATTGGAGTGGCTAAACGGCTTTTTGTTGTTGCAGGTGCTGCACTTTATTGCTTCGGACCACGATAAAATCGAGGTTCTTCTCAAAAGCGCTCTGCCGGACCTCGAGGATCTCTACATCGAGTTCTCAAAAGAGAAAGTATATAATGTGAGCTGCTAGTCCAAGCGGGACTGAAATTTCACGTGAATTGAGTAAAGGACCTTCACCTGTAAACCTCCTTCTTGATATTTTCTTTTCACCATATTCACAATTGTTGCAAATTTCAGAGTTCTTAACTTCATGGTTTGCTATTAAGATTTTTTACTTATATACTTTGAATTTACCTTTTTGTGATAATGTGATGTATGAACTCTTTCATATTTACAGTATTGATTTGTCAAGGCTTACAGTCAAAGCCTGCTAGATGCTCGACATAACTATTCGAATACTAAAAGCTAGCATACAGATATTCCGGAGCGGAAAAACTCGGGGGATGAAATGAACCTGTGATGAAACGAACTCAGGCACGGGGAATCTTACTTTCAGTAATTTTGCACGTTTTTGATCGTAGACTGGCGACTAAGTCTTAAACATATCATAATATGTTTGATAATATTTTGATTTCGGAATAATGAAGTGTGCACGGGATATGCCAACTATGATTGAATAGCATTAACGATCAATTTCCCTCATTGTAATCCCTAGCCTATCGCAGGTGTTACGTTCCAGGTACGGCTTCGATGGGGAATTGCTCGATTGATAGTACCCATGCAAGTATTTATATTGAATTGGCTCTTTAAGCTTCCCTTGTTTCAAGTGCTAATAAACCCTTCTCACACTCTTACGTAATACAAATCAAAGTAGTAAATATAGTACTACTATACGCATGCTGTTTACATTCGTGGGCTGTTTAAATCTGCCTGTCGACTTCCACAGAAAATTGCGAATCAGCGAACCGCGAATAATTTTCTTCGTTAACTATTTCTTGAAAAGTGATATAGTTATACAGTGGAGTGAAGGCGTGATAGGTAAAGTGTGATATAGCAAGGGAGTACCTTATCTTGTACACGGAAGAAGCTTTGATCTGCGTGGTCCTGTATAATTTGGGTGCAATATTCGTTTTGCACAAAATTGGAAAACAATTTAAATGACCTGCAATTCCTCTTGACTAGTTGAAAGTCACAAGTTTGAAGTTGTCCGTCTGTACGTCGTGATTGAATTTGCGTTGCATTGGTCATCTAAGGCAAATAGTATTCACCTAAAAGATACGACATTTGATTTATTTTGGGCACTCGTAAAATTTCTTCATTGTAAAGATTTATGCTCTAAATGACTACGTTCAGTCCATTTGTGTACACATCTTGAACTGGATATATATTATTCTAAATTTTAGCCCTTTACCTAGTGACAGTAACTCGCATTATGGGTCCTATTAGAACAAACAGCGTTAACCAATGACTATGCAACGGAATCAGTGTTTATTCCTTATCTGCAGACTGGTGACAATCATTCTTAGTCCTGTCGAAAAAAATAAAGTCTTGTAAAAAAATAACACTAATAACACTCAATGGATCCGCGAAAAAAAGGTTGAACCTTTGAAATTGTTTAGGCATATTCTAGTAAGAATATATTTTTGATAATTTTTTACTCATCAGCAACGTTTAAAAGTATATGTTGAAAATAATTCAAATGACGGTGTAACGTCTCTGTAACCGTTTCGCATGGGACAGTGCAATATTTTGATTTTATGTGAGGAAGAGACGGTATTTCACGAATTTTCATCATAGCAATTTTCCTTAAGGAATACAGTCGTTTAACCCCATTGGACTATTTCAATAGAATATCATCCAAGCATTATGCTGACGACAGGAAGTCTTGAAAAATTAGTTCGGCTGGGAGTTGACCTTTTATTTTTTATCTGCTGATAAAATTTAATTTTCTCATCAGATGCACGCTGAAAATGAAGTCTTAGCTATAGATTTTTCGCTGGCGCCGACGTCAGTGACGTCCCTGACGCTGCCTTCCGTCGCTTTGGACGATAACTCCTACAAGAACCTCCTGCGCATGCCTAAGCTGCAGCGAGTCTTTGTCAAAAGCAAGAAATTCTCAATGGCTCAGCTTAAACTGTGAGTCTATCTCTGGTCCTCGCAAATTTGTGTGAACTAAAGTGCCGGAGTGGTTAGCTTCTTGGCTGGCACGTTTGTCGTTGCTGGGCCAGCAAATGGGGCGGGTGATCGGCAGGCATTTCTGTCCCACGCACAAACGCATAATTATAAAACGTAGGGCTACAAAATAATTTTGGGGAACAAATTGAAATTTTTGAGGAACAAATTGAAATTGATCAGATGATGAAAGGATTTTAGCGTGTGTATTCATATCGTATAAAATCTGTTAGTCACAATTTGTGTTTTCTTCACACTCCATTGCTGTTACTTGAAATGTAAATTCGAGCTTTTCATCATTGCGTGATGCTTATGTATTTCATTCGGAATATTTTTATTCGTTTTCAACTTACTCGCTCAGATCAGGTCAAGAATTCATTTCATCTTCCAGTCACGGTTCGTTCTAGTTCCACACAAGCTGCTAGCGTACCTCTATGGTGTGTCCAGATAAAGTGGTCACCTATGAAATTGTGCCGCACTCTCAATAATTCCTCGCTGCTGCCCGCGTGTGCAAGCTACAAGCTTTACCTCGCCGGTAGCCGCCGTGATGTTGCTCCAGACAAGCTCCCTAATGTGTGCTGCATTACAGACTCGTGGCGCACGTTCAGCTGGTCGAGATAGGCGCCGCGATGCTGTCCGTGGATCTCTCCACGGCGCAGGAGCTCGCTGCGCTGCGCAGGAAGGCGCTGGCAGAGGGCAGGGCCAAGTTCCCCTCACAGAGTCTCGACCACGACGAGCCCCTCGTGCTGCATGTCAACTACGCCCACCACGTGGCATTCGCAGATCCTCTCATCAAAATCAAAGGTTCACTCCCACATGTTTTCAAGTAACATATCTTAACTTTCTTCGGATAAGTCATAATGAATTGATATTTGATGCGATATTTTCAAGAGACATTTTCTATGCTGGTGTTCTGATACGATCATCAATTAGTTTCCCCCATCATCCCTTGATAAACATTGTTGAAAGTGCACACTAGCTCCAATTTGCTGATTTTTTTTTACATTACCTAGCCGTGCATTTCTCTTTACTTTTATTGCTTTTGAACTTCCCATTTAAAACAAAGCATTAATCCCATTCAGGAATTAACACCACACCTGTATGCCCCCAACTCTGTTGTACTGTGTCAGGTAGTAGTGTAACGTTAAGTTTTACATCACCACCCAATGGCACCCATACCTCCAGTAGCAACACCCGCGTCACCTTCCGTGACGTCTTTTTGCGGAGTCTATATAAGTGCCACACGCATCTCACGTGTCAGTCGCAGTCCAACCTCTAAAAGCGCCCACTAACGTAAATACGGCTCCGAAACTTCCCGGTTCACTAGCGAACGTGTCGATCTAGCAACGTTATCTATTTTTGTAGTAATACTTCACTGTGCTTCACCATAAATAATTACTACTGTAGAGTTGTCTTTCGTTATATACCAGTTTATAAACATTTGGAAAGTAATCGAACCGTAATCAACTTATACAATTTACTTATCTTAAAAGACATCCAGACGTTCTGATGTTCATGAATGTGTTTTTCTTTCAGACCACAAGCTAAACTCGTACATCTACGAGCGCGTCGGGTCGTGTCTCTTTGACAACGAGTGGCTGGACTTCGGCCACGACTTCCTCCAGCAGGCGGCTGGCAAGGAGCTCCTGGACACTGACGACGAGGACGTACCGTACGGGGACATGTATGACGACTGGTATGACGACCACGACGATGATTTTGACGACTACGCCTTCTCCAGCTCCGACCACGACGACAATGGTGGGGACGACTGGCTTTATGATGAAGAACTCGACGAAGATATATGTACGTTCGTGGTTTTTTGAGCTTGAGCTTTCATAAAAAATGCACAGCTTCATATTTCTAGTTGTGTGACCATTTAGTTTGATCAGAGTTGTATTTTCGAAGTGGTCATGGGTGAAGCTGAGCTCTTGAACAAAAATTATAAGCTATCTTACACAATTACAGTTGAATCGAGAGAATTTTTTTCCGAAACTTGTAAGTATTTGTAGATGTGACATTAGTGAATTAATTGGCTCAATATCGTAAAAAATTTTCTTGAATATCGAAATGTATACCTAAGTGTTGCCAGTATCAATGCTTCGATGTGTGTGTGCATTGTTTAATTTATATTATATTGCATTTACTATTTATAAGTTTCACTTGTGTACGTATTTCAAATAATAGCCTGAACTATAATTGCATCAGTTTTGCAAGACTTCCTCAAACTCTATTGCGTGATTTGCAACTTAAATTTATTTTGCAGAGGACGATTTGCTCTACGGTGGCCATCGTGAATACTGAGCCTCACCATTGGCTTGTGCTGCTGTGATACAATGAGTGGAGTTGACCAGGCTGCTCTGCGGTGTAGTAGCGATCTAGTCTTCTTTTGTTATGTTCATGCCAAAATGGCGTCATTTCCTGCAAAAAAAAAATTTAGATGTTTTCTAGTTTTACGTTCCGAATGATCTTTCATGTTTAGAAATTTTGAGGCTGTTGCTACGGATTCATAAAGGAGAAATTCAGTTTGATTATTTATAGTTCAAACCCGCCTCTTGGTATAACTTGCCTCTGAACGGTTCATGTAATTCAATGTTCGTTCAATTTTTTTTAGTTTCGTTTCAGTAGAGTTTCTTTTGTTCTACGTCGACCAAAATTAACGCTGGTCGTCCAAGATATTACATATACGCTATCTAACCTTTGGCTCTATGCCTTACCCATAACTTAATCTTGGATCGTCTTGGAGATCTGCACTATTCTCTGTCACGCGAGTGATACTCGAGACTTGGCAATCTCTGTGTTTTAACCATATTGATATGGTTTTTGCTTCAGTTGAAATCTATTTTTTTTTTTGCCTCAGTAGAAATCTCTTAACTATAAGGTGTTGCAGGGTTTACTTTGAAGTATGAATTTTTGCAGCATTGTTTAGATGCCACTAATGGACTTTATTTTCCATTACTTGTATTCTTTTTGAATTTTCCATCTTTGTAGTATTAAAATGATTTTTTCTGATAAATTGATCTCTTTACATGGAAAAATAAGTTGAAAGGTTTCGATTGATTTACTCATTTGGGGACTGGGGTTGACATCGTGCTGGTTCTTGTCAACTGAATTTTGTCACTATCGCTGCATTTTCAATTTGAACATAAAACTATTTAACTGTCGATTTAGGCGATCGGTTAACTTGCTTTACTGTTTAGAAATTGCACTCCAAACTGCTAGGTTATTTAATCCTGTTGAATTGATTTGCTTGCTTTATTTCTATTCACAAACCAAAACTTCCGTAGAAAAAAATGGAAAGGGATATTTTTCTGCGAAGACCCCGCAGCCACTCTTTATGCTGGAAAAAGGATATAATTTTGTACCTACCATCTAATGTATTGAACATCGTTCCTGCTTAGGTTCACACCGCCACTACTTGAATTTTCGGTTAACCATTTACAAAGGAAATTTGAGCGTTTCAGTCCGGTTTTTTTGACTCTCCAGTGCTCACGTGTTCCGAGTAACTGAGTAAGTTCTGTAACTTCTGTCAAGATGTAGAGCTCAAGGTGACACTGGCATTTCTTGGTGCAATTTTGAGCTTTCATGTTTACGCACTTAATTAAATCAATATTTTTGTATTGAAGAAAGAAGAGTATTTAATTTTTTTTATCCTTGAAATTCACATGCTGAGTAGAGAATCTAATAGAAGTGTCCGACTGTCGGCATTGCAGTCTTGCAGAAACAGGCCCATGGGGCCATGGCCTGCTGCCGCTGCTGATCCTTGTACTTTTCGTGACGATTCACAAGGGATCCAACCTTTGGAACCCGATCTTTCTATAACTGACGATTGATTGAGAATGCTGCTGGACTTTTTGCCTCCGCAAGCTGCTAGGTATTTTAAAACTGAACATATGCTCCTGCATAGCTTCATCTAGATTCTAGGCTCTAGCTAGTCTGTTCATGAAGGCTTTCATACTCGGAGCGTCAACGTCTCAACGATGCAATCAGGGAAACTGTTCCACATGTCGGTGACTCAAAGCTAGAAGAAATGTTGTCGCATCATCTTGCATGGTTGTGTTAGGAGAAAGTCAGTTGCGTTCGTCGTGAAAGCACGTGTGTGAATTGCGATCCCTAAAGTAAAGTAACCGGTAAATTTTTGATTCAGATTCTTATAATTATTCATAACCTTTATTATTTGATTTGTTTCTGCTGGCCTTCTCCCTCAGAGGTTTGCCAGTCCGCATTGTTTTTTTTTTTTGTTTGTCCACTCCATTTCTGTGTAAGGTATATTCGTCATCACAAGAAATCGTCCTCCGTCTTGATCATAGTCTTGCATGGGAGATACAGGCTGTCTTGCTGGGTCTGGGTAATGGGTTTGGTCCCCCTCCCACAGCAGTACAGCACCAGCAGCAGGCTCTGACTCAGCAGCCTCTAGTACTGTTACTGACCTACCTACTGTGGAGCCTGGAGCTCAGCTGGAGGTGAGTGAGTTAGCTGAGTGTGCTGCAATGATGGAGGAGGTCAGGAGGATATTGCTATTGATGGTGGTTTTGTTATTGAGGACTCTGATCCAGATAGCATCATTGAGGCCATTCCTGTTGCTGTTGCGGGTAGACGCAAGCGCAGGGACCGTGAAACTGATGGGTCAAGTGAGACTTGAGAGTTGAGAGTATATCTAGGCTCTAGCAATAGAGCCAACTCAGCCAAGAGTGCAGCTGTGCTGCTGTGGCCAATACCCGTGAGGATAGTCAAATCCTTCCAATTGTGCCTAATCAGACTAATCCTACCAACGAAAATGGAGCTTTGAAAGTGAAGCTACCATCAAATGCTACCTTACTGAGTGCTGGTTCTGGCCAGACCATTCTAATATGGCCTCACCGCCTCAGGGACCCAATGCCTTAAGCTTTCTAAAGGACCCAGTTGGTCTTGCTAAGGGTATTAAGAGCTCACCTTTTGGTGCAATTGGGGACCTGATTGTTCGCACTAACCCACGATGTCAGCTAATTGCCTTGGAGTTTCCTTCATTCTGTGGTAATATGTCCAAGTATCTCTCGGTCACAACGATTGGCAAATGGGCAGTTCAATGTTATCAGCCTGGCTCTGATATACGAGTATATGGAGTCCTGGGCCCAATTGATCCAAGTGTTGAGGTAAAGCCATAAAGGACATACTAGAAGTTGCAAATGCAGGAGATATTGCTATTGAAGATATTACTTGCTTATCCAGATCCCGGAATGGAATCCGTGAGCCATTGGCCACCCTGAAGATAACACTTGAGGGATTAACTTTGCCAAGCAGGGTAAAAATTGGGTATGTATCATACTCAGTAAGGCCTTTTGTAGCTCCTGTGAAGCGATGCTATAAGTGTCAAAGATTGAACCATTTTGCCGAGGGCTGTGACTCTCCCAGAAGATGTCTTTTATGTGCGGGACCCCATGAACATTCTATGTGTACATCAGCTGCTAAGTGCTGTGCGAACTGCAAGGGCCCACATCATGCAAATGCTCCAGAGTGCCCTTTCATCATGAAAGCCACTGCAGTTGAAAAGCTGTGTGCTACTGGCCGTTCCTATGCTCAGGCTGTGAAAGAAGTGAGGTAGCTGAACACAGACAGGTTCCAAATCAATATAGGGCAATGTCAAGTGCTCCTTTTCCACTCCTTTGGCCAGTGACCCAGTGTATCTCCTTCCTGCCCTCCACCAGGGGCCCTTTCCACTGTGACAATTCCTGTAGATGTGCACCAATCCCAAGGTAGTTACTCAGACTCTGGTTCCAGATCCAGACCACTGACAAATCTACATGTTGCTAAAGCTAATACTTCAGCTGAGGCTGTTGATAATCAAACTGGTGAAAACAATTTTGCAGACCTTAGAAGAGTAATGAAGGAGGAGCTAGCTTCTAGTGAGAAACGTCTTAGGGAAACCATTTGTGTGTCACTTACTGAGTTTTCAATTAAATTGGGGAAATTCATGAATGAGGTGTTTAAACTTATCTACTGAGTGAAGATTCTAAGGAGAGATCTCTGCTCCTAATTAGCCTTCTGAGAAATGCTTTTGGGCAGGAGGTTGGTGAGGCTCTGCAGAGGGAGTGGGTTTCTGCCAGTTGTGGTACTTCTGGTCATGATCGGGTTCTGGAAGCATCTCCCGAAGGTAGTGCCTCAGATTTTGTGCAGCCTAAAAAAGTAGTCGATCGAGTGTCAGTTGGAAGGTTGATTTCTCCTGTTGGTCCATCACCCTCTCAGCTGACTCGTGTGGTCTCAAGGCAAGGTGGACGAGCTAAGGGGCGTGGCAAAAGTAAGAGTGCAACCAGTTCAGCTCAATCTCAATGAGTTACTCACTAAAATCACAGCAATTGACACAACAGCATAGGAGGGAACTAGGGTTAGAAATAGTGCAGCTTAACTGTAATGGCCTACGTGGGAAACTTACGGAAATCAAGCTCTTTCTGTACAAAGAAAAGCCAGATGCTGTCTGTCTCTGTGAGACATGGTTGAGAGTGCATGAGCCTTCTTTTGTAGGTTATTCTGCTTTGTGGTCTCACAGAGAAAATGCATTGAGAGGTGGTATGGCAATCCTTATTCACAGAGACATTGAAATGAAGAAGTTTGATCTTCCTCTGTTTCCTAGGGATGCAAATCTTGAGATCCAGTCTGTAAAAATCTGTACTGCTCTTGGCTGGATTGCAGTTGGCAACTTTTACAATCCTGGCAGGAATGTGAGCTGTGAAGAGGTGAGCTATTACTTATCCAAGTTTGGTGATAATTTTGTGGCAGTGGGCGATTTCAATACACATTCCCCATTATGGGATGCTCGGGGAAGGTCAAATTGTACTGGAAAATCCATCGAGGCAGCCATTGAAGCTCTTCCTGTATGCCTCCTGAATGATGGCAGCTTCCCCACATACATAGATAATCGCTGTGGTACCACTTCTTGTCTGGACTTGGTCATGCTCAGCTCACATCTGTCCACCAGAGCCACCTTGACCCAGGGGCCTGATCTGGGGAGTGACCATTTTCCAATCTGCTGCAAAATTGGCATTAAGGTGGTCAAATCTTCGGAAGAGACCCCAGTTTGGTGGAAACTGTACCAAGCAAATTGGTCACAATATCAGCAACTTCTTGACAAGGCACTGGTTGTCTCAGAGTATGGACCTAGAGATGCTGACAGTGCCTATGCTTCTCTGTCAAATTCCATTTTGCAAGCTGCCTCTCTTGCAGTGCCCCGTAGCTGAGGAAAAAGATACTGTCAATTCTCCACACCTTGGTGGGATGGTGAGTGTTCCAAGGCTGTTGCGCTTAGAGGTAGAGCTAAAGGCAAACTGTGGCACTCCCCTACTCCAGCAAATCTCATCGAATACAAGCGCTGTGAGGCTGTGGCTAGAAACCTCAAAATTGAAAAGCAGCGTAATAGCTGGACAGAGTATATAAACACCCTCTCCTCATCAACAACCACTCGAGAAGTCTGGAGGAAAATACACAGCATTCAGGGTAGGCCTATAAGCAGTTTCTCTTATCCATTGCAAGGTGCTGCCCATGATGACGACTACACCAAAGCTAGTCCTTTTGCTGGCCATTTTGCTCCAGTTGCTCCTATGACAGGTCATCAAGCAAGTGTGGATGCTGTTTCAGAAGTCGTGAAAGCCATAGCCAACCTCGAACAGTACAGCTGTGTTCCATTTACGATAGGGGAGTTTTCTCAGGCACTCAGAGCTCTCAAAAATACAGCTCCTGGTCATGACTCAATTATGAATGTTTTCCTCTCAAAGGCTCCATTGCGGTGCAAGCAAGAGCTATTTGCACTTCTAAACACCAGCTGGATTTCTGGGCTTGTTCCGGATGCATGGAAGCAAGGAATTATTATCCCTATACCAAAACCAGGGAAGCCTCCAGAACAGTTGGCAGGATACCGCCCTATCACACTCCTACCCTGCATGGGCAAACTCCTGGAACGCATGGTTTTACGCCAGCTGGAATATACTCTAGAGAGTAAAAAGGTTATTCCATCTCTGCACTTTGGTTTCCGTAAGGGCAAAAGTACAATTGATGTTTTGCACTTGCTAAAGAATGCCATAACCTCTGCTCGAACTGGTCGTGAATATGCTTAGTGGTATACTTGGACATTGAGGGAGCTTTTGACAGCGTCTGGCATGATGGACTGCTGTATAAATTGCACCGCATTGGAGTGGACAACCAGATGCTGGCCTGGTTGTACAATTATCTTCAGAATAGGACTGTTTGTGTTCGGGTTGGTGTTACTAAATCCTCGTCTCAACCCATGAGNGATCGAGTGTCAGTTGGAAGGTTGATTTCTCCTGTTGGTCCATCACCTTCTCAGCTGACTCGTGTGGTCTCCAAGCAAGGTGGACGAGCTAAGGGGCGTGGCAAAAGTAAGAGTGCAACCAGTTCAGCTCAATCTCAATGAGTTACTCCCTAAAATCCCAGCAATTGACACGACAGCATAGGAGGGAACTAGGGTTAGAAATAGTGCAGCTTAACTGTAATGGCCTACGTGGGAAACTTACGGAAATCAAGCTCTTTCTGTACAAAGAAAAGCCAGATGTTGTCTGTCTCTGCGAGACTTGGTTGAGAGTGCATGAGCCTTCTTTTGTAGGTTATTCTGCTTTGTGGTCTCACAGGGAAAATGCATTGAGAGGTGGTATGGCAATCCTTATTTGCAGAGACATTGAAATGAAGAAGTTTGATCTTCCTCTGTTTCCTAGGGGTGCAAATCTTGAGATCCAGTCTGTAAAAATTTGTACTGCTCTTGGCTGGATTGCGGTTGGCAACTTTTACAATCCTGGCAGGAATGTGAGTGGGCGATTTCATTTCAATGCACATTCCCCATTATGGGATGCTCAGGGAAGGTCAAATTGTACTGGAAAATCCATTGAGGCGGCCATTGAAGCTCTTCCTGTATGCCTCCGGAATGATGGCAGCTTCCCCACATACATAGATGATAGATAATCGCTGTGGTACCACCTCCTGTCTGGACTTCAGGACTTGGTCATGCTCAGCTCACATCTGTCCACCAGAGCCACCTTGACCCAGGGGCCTGATTTGGGGAGTGACCATTTTCCAATCTGTCGATGCACATGGAGCACCGAAACGAGTAGTGCTGCCATGTAACCGGGAGGGAGCAGACTGAGCAGGGGTCCGGTCCAGGGTTGGGATGGATACCCTGGGTCAGGAGAAGAAGGACGAATAGGAAGAAAAGGTGAGAGGAGAGAAGGGCATAGGGCGTCCCCGGAGAGATAGGCGGCCAAAGGTGTGGGTAGGGGGAAGGGGAGGCCGAGGTTCCCCTGCCCTTAGAGGAAAAGATGGTGGAGCCTCCGTCCGGTAGCGATCCGGGCGGGGGGGCCTCTGCCGTTTGGCCCGGCCCGCGAGTAAGTCGGGCATCCGGCTGACGCGCAGGCCAGGGTACCCCCACGACGAAGACGCGGCAGAGATCGGGGGAAATGAAGTGGCAGACAGGGCAGCAAACCTTGCGCACTCTAATGACTGCACAGCAAGATCTCAACTGTGCTTTGAGAAATGGATCTTCACTGTGAAGTCACTCACCAATCAAGAATGGGCTTGCAAATGGTCAGATGACGTACAAGAAACAGGAAAAGGGACCTTCCGAAGAAGTTTGGGACCTGAGATATCTTATGTGGACTATGGATCGCTGCCACGCTCAGTTGAATGCGCTGTGTCACGTCTACGCCTTGGGCATGCTGGTGTCAATGCTCATCTGGCCAGATTCAATTTAGCTGACTCAAGTAACTGCACAGTATGCAATGTGGGCATTTGTGTTCAGGCTGGGAGGTATGCTACTGGCATACCCGAAGCCTAAAAATCAATTTAAAAAAAAAAAAAATGGATGTGTTACAACGCAGTTTTTTTTACTTTATAGCCGTGGCCTCCTGGTGTTGGTTTTTGTTTCAAATTCTGGTAAACCTTCTGGCTCTGGGACCTTGTATTATATTAAGTTGTATTATAAGCCAAAGCCATCATTAGCCATGAGTAGGTATACTTGTCATGTGTGCTTCAGTGAGGTCCCCACGTGGACGTCGATAACTGAGGGCGGCTGAGGCTTGAGTTGGAAGCTTCATAATTTTTAATCTTTCCTCATAGGAGTTGCCGTTTAAGTCCGGAATTATCCTTCTTGCGCGTCTTTGAACACTCTCTATTAATTTTTTTGAACTCTCTGAATAACAAAGGTCATGAAAGTCAGGTCTTTGCTGTTGTGGCAGTCTTCAGGCCAGCCTGCCAGGGTCTGAAAATGTCCGTGAACCGGGACCGGGTCATTGATTAAACAAGCATTGGGTGATCTTTCCAGGGCCCAGAAGTGGAGGGGGCTGAACAGGCAATATACAATGGTTCCAAACGCCCAGAATGTGCTCCACATTGGCTGCTCTACAAAGATGCAGAGACAGGGAAAGCTTAAATCTATCCCAAAATAAACCTGTGAAAAATATGAATACACAATGATCTTCCTTATGCCAAACTGTAACACAATTTGAAGACTTGATTTACACAAACATTTGATAATTAAAATTTAGGACTGAGATGCTTGGCAAGAGTGTTCTCTTGGTCTTGTCTATAAATTGTAGAGTGGTGAATTCATGGTGGAATTCTAACATGTAGTGCTCATTTATACATGGTGGAATTCTAACATATAGTGCTCAAAGGTACTTGTGGGTGGAGTCATGTCATCTCCCATCTGTGATTTCCTGATTGGTTAAGATGTCATTCTTTCTACACTGTGATTGGTTGATAGGATCATGATATCATCCTCTCAGCCGGTGATACTTGTGGGGTAGATCAGTGACATCAGCAGGTGCCAGGCAGTACTGGCACTCACAAGCGACATACTGTCGAAAGATAATAGCACCATAGGTCTTCAGCCACTGCTTAAGCATGCTCGCTCATAGGCAGTTCCCCATCCGGCTTAACCCCGGCAGTTCCCCAACTGCAAGATTCCTGCTATGGTCAATGCCAATAATCTTGCTAGCAGTACTTGACTCTATGTCGCCAGGCATGCCAGTCTTCAATAGTAATGATCTATTTTATAAACAAAACCAAATCATTATAGCACAATCAAAACAGTTATTTAGTTAATATGTGGCAATTTAACCCTACAAATTGAATTTTTGACTAGTATTATACAGTTTTTAGTGATGTGCAATGGCAGCCAGGTATGTGCAGTTTCTGCTTACTGGATTGATGACATGTGGCATTGGTGGTAGATAAATTTATAATGTAATTTATCTACCACCAATGCCAATATCTATGTAATTGTAAGCAAAAATGCATGATTGGGCTATAAGATTCCAAATTTAGATATTAAAAATTTGTCCCTTTGAAGCTATGAGATTGTAATAACAAGTAGGAAGAGCATGCTGAGGTCCTCAAGAATTTGTTATATTTAGGGGTGATTTATGATTTGGTTTATGGAAAGATCTTAGAGCTGGTTGATTGGAATTCATGATTGCAGTTATTAACACTTTCCTCAAGGTTTGGAGAGTGGTTGGTACCAATTTGACTGATGGCTGTCTGCTGCTGAGGCCAGGAGCCTTTCTCTTCTCATTGGTCACTAGTGACCTATACTGAATGAGTGTAGGCTATGCCTCTCCTGGGTGGTGAATTAATACCAGCCTCCAGGTAGTGATCAGTCCCAATATCTGCCTAGGTTAAGGCTGTTCATATTGGCTGCAGGTCAGTGGTAATGAGAGTGTGGTCCAGATTCTGAACTTCTGGTAATGGATCTCTCTCTCATTTCCACTCTGGACTCCAGAGTAGAGAAAGTGTTCTGGTAGACAATTTGGATGTACGAAAATGCCCACTGCCATTGGGATAACTGCTCAACTAAATGCTCCTACAGTTGTGGAGCTACAAGGATGCATCTTTAATCTGTAATAGCTACCAAAAGGATTACCAGGGTGCTGAGTCAGTTTAGTCAATATAAAGTGAAAAATGTCTAAATATCTTTTGTGACTTAGCAGCATCAATATATTGATTTCTCAAGTAGGTCTTGTCAACATATTTCTCTTTAAATGCATATTTACATGTATTTTTGCAAGAAACCTTCAAAGTTTAGTTAGGTATGATAACAAATCCTCAAAAAATGCTGGTAACATTACAAGGGTAACTCTGCATGGCAGCAGGAAGAAGAATAAAAGTGATAAAGACACAATTTAGCCTTGATGTGTGTTAGGTATCTTCCAATACAAGTGCTAGTAATTGTATCCTTAAGCATGCCAGAACAATTCATTGAAAATGACACCATTCTGGATGTGTATCATTAAAATCCACCTCAAACTTGCCCAGAACTTACTGCACTGCAAACTGGCGAGATTAGTAAAACAACAAAAACTATCCAGCTATGCTCATATAACTGAGCAATAGACAATACTAGAACAACTTTGCACTGAATTTTCACAACAATTTTCATATCAAGGTGCTACAAGTGACCTGCAAGAGATCATTTACAGCACCCTTAAAAAGACATCATTTCTTCATCCTTAAATCCCATACTTATAAATAAGCATCACACTCCCTTATTTGATAACCATCATTTAGCTACTATGCAATTGGATGAGGGTTGCCAAATTATTGTTGAAACTACTAAATCTGGGAAGCATGCCCAAGTGGTCCTTAGATAGACACATTCAAAAGAGCCTAATTGGTTCTATCTTCATCAATCAGCAGCACTCCATTACCTCATCAAGAAGTCAAGCATCAGATTACTTCAATTAGCTTGGACTTGGAGGTGGTTATGTCCCCAAAAATTGTTTTCACACCTTAAAGCTGTTGACAGCAAATTAATAATTGTTTTCTTACTACAAAAGATAACTCTTGAGTGAGTGTTCTACTAATAATTTTTCTCTGCTCCTGCAGTTGATAAAAATTAGCTATGCTCTCCAAGATTCCTGCTGTTGAACGTCTAAGTGCAAGAATAATTCGCATCCTAGGATGCAACCCCGGGCCTATGACCTTGCAAGGAACCAACACATATTTAGTTGGAACAGGCAAGAGGTACAACTATTCCACTGTGACAAATTTGTTTATGTTGCTAATTATTGTGCTTTCTCTTCATTGAGGTTGTAGACATAAAGCAAATATAATGGCGATGATAACTTTAATATTAATGTTTTTGTAGACTGGCTCTTCACCAGTTCAAAAACTTCAAAAGAACATATTCAATATGATGACCGAATTTACATGGACGAAATTCTTACCACTATATTCAGCATTTATTTTGGTCTGATGGCATTCAAGTTCAAATTTCATCAATTGAAATTAGGTTAATCTGTTTATTATATTTGTAAACTAGAATTTTGAACCATGTTAGAACAATCTCTGAAAGGCTTTTAACAAAAATATGGTGAATTTGCTAGTCCTTTTCTTAGCATGCAAATTATTTGTTCATAGTAACCTTGTTTGCATCCAAAATCTTCCAACTTTCTCAACACTGACTGTTTTCGCCCCTAATTTCCCATCTATAAATAGCATTGAAACAAGTCAACAAATCATCTGAACACATGTGCTTCAAGTCAAAGTATCAATTGAATTTATTTCAGTAGTTTATTTATGTACCTGCTATTGATAAACTGTTAATGTACCTTTTCCCAGCTGAAGCAAATTTATGTTAGCTAATATTACTGACTAGGAGATTTTAGATTAGCAAAAAATTTGTGCTTTGGCAGCTCATCATCTACTGGATCTATTAACAAATCTTATTAAAAATGTGAATTTGATTTTGGTTTGTGATGACTTTTTTTAATTTTTAAATGTGCCTTGAGCAAAGTTACCTGAAAAATAGTGCTCTGAGTTAACTTTGTTATAGATGCAAACCATTTCTATTCAAAAACCTGATATCAAGTCATTGAAAAAGCATGTAGTAAAGCTTTCCATTACTGGTATCTACCGAAAGAGTATGAACCATGCACCCAAGCTGAACTACTAGGCAAATTTAATATTAGCTTTACTAAATTTGTTTAGTTTTATTCATTAATATTGAAAAGTAATTATCATACTATCTTTTATTTAAAGTTAAAAAGAAAGTTTAAAAAAGTTTGTTTTATAATTGCAAAATAATTGAAATTTTGCTTCATAATACTAATATTCAATTTTATTACAGAATTTCATGTGATTTTTATCATATTTTTGTAAAGTTTCAATTGCAAATTAATTTCATGCATTTATGAAATTTGAAGAAGAATTCAGCATGGAATGTATTAACCCAACAAAAATATTCTAAAATTTGTATTGTACAGCACACTGTTAAAACAATTCACTGTATTGCAAAATCAACACTAATTTCTCATTTTTCCAAACTTTTAAAATAGGTTATTTTAACAAGCCTAATCTTCAAAGGATTTGTAATTACATGTATGAGTGTTACCTACTTCAACAACATATAATTTTTATCATTTGCTCAGGAGACTCCTTGTTGATGCTGGAGAACAAGACAACAAGGCCTACATCTCATCACTAATCAATGTACTGAAGGAACAGGAGGCGGAAATCAGTGATGTCATCATCACTCACTGGCATCAGGATCATCTAGGAGGCTTGTGTGATGTTCTTAATGCTACAAACAGTGAGTTTTAGTTCCAAAAAGAATACCACTTGATTAGTAATTTTTTTATCACATTGTGTGGACATCTCTTATCCTCTTTCCATTGCCAGAATTTATTCTTTGTTGGATATTTGCAGTGTAAATTACATGTGGTAACCTAATATTTAAGGAAGCAAGTCTCTTAGATAGAATTTGTGTGATATTGATTTACTTTATGGTTAAAAATAGCTAATATGCAAAATGTAAATTCTAATACTTTTCTTATCTTTTCTTTTAGAGTCTGCTTTGGTTCATCAATTCCCATATCCTGATACAGCTCCCTATGACCCTCTTCCTGACTGGGTTAATTTGAAGGCCTTAAATCACCTTGATCAAGTATCAGTACCTGGGGCTACTCTAAGGTAAGCCTGTCTTCATAGTGCAGAATTAAAAATTTCAACAAGTCTTAGTGCTAAATTTTGTCATGCTGGTACTGATGCCGATTTTTATTTAATGTTTTTACTTATGTAAAATAACGGTACATAATAATTACATTCCAGTTGTATGTTGAAACACAACTTCCTGTGAATTTCACAATTGCAAGAAATAATTTTTTATATGTATAATAGTATTGAGTATCAAGGTTTCTTCTCATCAAAATAATTTTCATTATTGTGTTCATTTGACTGAATTTCATATACTTTATTCTTCACTGTACATTTATAGAGTTGTTAACTAGTGTGTGTTGCTGCATACGGTTGGTGTTGTGCAGAGTTCACTATACTCCAGGACACACCCCAGACCACGTATGCCTGGAGGTGGTGGGTGGAGAAGATGATGGAGCCTTGTTTACTGGCGACTGTGTACTGGGTGAGAGCACTGCAGTCTTTGAAGACCTTTACGACTACATGAACTCTCTGAAGGTTAGCATTATTAGATACAACTTAATGGACTCCCTTAGATCAAGATATATTATATCAAATATAAGTGTTAACTACTCTCTTTTATCAAGAATTTAAAAAATGTTCTGTATATTAGTCCCATTGTGTTATTGTACTGTATTTCATTACCCTAATAGTAATTTTTCAGCCACTGTAACAAAGGATGAAACTAAACTGAATTCAAAGGTTAATTCTTGAAAATTTGATATTCAGCCGTGTACTACATACATTTGATACGTTTCTTGTTTGCTTTCCTTACTAGAGGTTCCTAATTTAATTTCAGATTCTGCTGAGCGTGTCTAAAGGAACTCTGTACCCTGGACACGGTGAAGTTATCACTAACGGCGCTGAGAGAGTCCAGCAATACATAGACCACAGAAATGCCAGGGAGCAGCAGATCTTTGAGACTCTTCTTGCGATGCCGAACAGCACGAGCACAGCATCGGAGCTCGTTAAAATAGTCTACAAGGTGAAAAATGACACCTTCGATGTTGTGCAAACAGTCACTGTTTTACACTTATTCTTTATTAGTACGTATTGGTAGTTTATATTTGCGGCAAGTCACATCGCTTCAGTTTTTTGAGGAAAAATTTTACTCTTATTTTTATGCAAGCATTACATAATTTTAGCAGAATTTCTGGCATAATTATGATCATCTACAAAATGATAATTTGTTCTGAATTTCATACCACGTAAAATCATCTATGGTGGTATATATATAATCATCATATCAAATGACAACAAGAATTACTTCTTGTCAGTGATGAATGTGGTCTTCATTTTGGGACAACTAATCACCCTTGCTGTAGGATGTCTCTAATTATACTTATATTATCAGTCTGCTTATATTGCAAGTTTCTTTTTCTGCCAGAATCTCTTGAAAAAGCAAGAAGTTTACCAGAATTCCAGGCAATTTGAATACTAGATAAAATCACAGTAAAGTGAAATAGTCCAGCTTACGGATAATCATTTGCTCGTAGATAGCCCGGATTAGTAAAACTTATAAAACATTTTGCAGGATACACCGTCTCGGTTGCACATGGCTGCAGAGTGCAACTTGAGGCTACATCTTGGGAAGCTTGTAAAGGATGGAAGAGTCAGATGTATAGACGACACATTTTCTGTCGTGGCGTCTAACAAGCTTTAAGTCATCTCTGCTTCTGGGTTCCGATATTTTCAGGCTTATCCTAGCTCTAGTAAAAGTCTTCAAAGCTCTGTTTGTTTCTAGTATTGAAATTTCTTCATCTGTACCATTAACGCTGACTTTTAATTGCAAAAATGATATATTATTATTACTTTCGATATATCTTCACTGAAAGTTTCAATGATTTGGCCCCTATTAGTATATTTTTAGTGCTAAATCTTGAATTTAAAAAAAAAATGGCATTTAAAAACGGTAATGGCAAAAAGGTAAATTTTCATGCTATTCTGGTAGATTTTTTTACGTTACGGAAGACTTGCCGTTATGATATAAAATGAATTTTTGCCTGTGCTTAATGTGTCGCATTTGTGTTGAAAACTTTGTACTATATGACCTCAATTAGTGTTGTGCATTATCTGTCGTCGAATAATTGTTAATATTGCCAAATTATTTAAATCTACTTAATCAATTTAGCAGATTTAATATATTTTTAGACTGGAAACAGAACAGTGATGCCCAAAATTCTTTTTTGGTATCTTTTTTGTTTATGTACCTACATACCTATATATATCTTTAGCCTTTTGTTGACTATGTTGTTGCGCAAAGACTATATTTCATATTTTGGAAGTTTTGAGCCACTGTTTCAATATCCTTCTCTAGATCTGCCGCTTTTCAAATTATTGAATTAAGAGTTATTAATTTGAATTTTGGATGACGAACCCAATTTAAAGACAATTTTTGTGGATTCATTTCTTATTAGTATGATAGTATTCCACAGATTTCCGCCTTAATAATTTGATGAGAACTTGCATCTTTTAACTCTAGGTAAAATGGCTAGGTATATTGCTGGTGTTTGAAACACCAAGTTGAATTAAATTTGAAGGACTGAGTTTTCTAAATTCATATTTTAATTGAGGTTTAAAAAAAAATGTAATATTTGATGTTCTTGGACGATTAAGGGCCTAATTGTTATGAAGTTTGCTTAACTTTGCTATGAGCATTTTAATGATTACTTTATCTTCAATTTATTTGAAATCATTGATTGGCGTGAAAAATTGAATTGATTTTTTCATTGTTGGCCGTATACGACACATATCACCACTGTTTCGAAAACGTCCTCGAAATTGAAAATATAAATCTCTTAAACCCATTCGAAATGGGACCTCCTATTACGATTTAAATGGAATTCATTTTTTGGTGTATTACCTTTACCTCAACGCAGCGAAGCGAAAAACTTTTTCGTTTATAGCGGTAGGCTAAATTCATTTTCATACATCGTTCATTATGACGTGACCTACTCCGAGTCTCCGGCTGCCAACAGCAGCTGATGCTGTTTCGGTGTTGCAAGTCCTGGATTTCAAATAAAACTTCTAGCACAAATTATTTGTGCTATTGATTACTTTATAGAAACAGAATGACTACGCTCTCTCGAATTTTACCTTCAGCAAGAGGGCTTCTTCACAAAGGTACGTTGTATTAATAAGAAATATGGTTAGTTTTTGGGTGTTACATAATGAATTAATGATGATTCACTTCACTCATGATTGTTGATTGATACCTAATGAGATAATCAAATGATTCAAATCAAATATCTACTTCCTAAGCCACCACTAAAGCTTTTCGTCATATTCTGAAACCTTCTTATCTAATTCTAATTGTTAAACATGTTTGGTTCTTGAGATTTGGGATTACCTACAAATTCACTTGAAAATGGCTAAAAAATTAACCTTAGAGTGGGCTTAGATAGGATCATAGTGGCAAACCAGTGATTTTTAAGAATCAGTTCATTTTTAATTTCCTCATTTACCCAAGATTTTAACAGATTTCTCATGTATGATAATTCTGGTATCCAAGATACTTTAAAGGTCTACTTATAGGACTCAAAAATGAACTTGAGGAAGAGTCTAAAAAATCTCTGCTTTGCCACTATGGATAGGATGTTGTCTAAAGACTAAAATGAGTAACTTTAGACTTGAAGCTGAGAAAACAGTAAGGTGTTTTAAGTAAAAAGTTGAACATTTGAAATCTAGAACTGAATTGTAGCTAGCAAATAATAAATAATCAACTAACCAAAACAGGTTAGGAAAAGTCCTACTGTTTTCTGAATCGTTGAAGCGTGCATAGGTGCGGCCACCAGGGTGGAATTCTAGAAATGGAAGTTCACTTATAAAAAAGCTTTCCACCCAAGGTGGAATGCTTTCCTTAGATACAGTGCTCTGCCAAGTGCCAGGTGACCTAGTATGGAATATATCTACTTGGTGTGGATGACGGCATTACGTATCAGTAGAATTTGAAGCGCGGACGGAATATGCCTCACCACGTGCTGAATATTGCCACACACAGTGACAGAATATAGGGATTTGGTAGGTTTCCATTCTAAAGGCTTTTAAATAAATATGGCAACATTTTGTGACGTTTCGTTGTTGCTGACACGTAGTGCGGTGTTTTGAGAGTCACATAAAGCAAACAGAACTTGAGTAACACATACGGTTTTTTTTATAGTTTTTCATTTCTCGATGCGTCCTTAATGTGACGGAATATACCGCGTTTACCCTAGACCAGTAAAGTATCATGGATACAAGCATTAGGATTAGCTTACTTAAGAAATTTGTTGAAATCTTAAGTAAATGAGGAAATTAAAAATGAACTGATTCTAAAAAAATCTCTGGTTTGTCACTATGTCAGTTCAGTTGCCACTAAGACTAAAGAAAGTAAAATAGAGAAAAATGTTAATTGTTATTGGTGCTGTTTGACTGCTTTTAGGGTAAAATTAGAGATTTTGGGTAACACATGCACAGGTCAGTCAGGACTTAGTTAATAAGTTCTTATCTTGTAATTGGCCAAGATGTGGAATTCACGGCTTGAAGAAATGGAATCACAACTGGCAAATCCATAAAACCATGGCTCAAAAATCCAGTTGTGGCTCACAAAGTAGATATATTCCATGCCTGGACCAAAATTAAGTTTCTGCTTGATTTTGCAAAATGAAGTTGACTGCAAGCACAGTCAGTTTTGTCCTTCACAGACAGCTTCTGCCTTTTTTTCCAGAATGGGCTATGGATAGTTTTTTAGATACTTGCAACTATTCAAGCATAAACTGCATATCTGAAGAGCTACAGTACAGAACAACCAGCTCTGAGACTTGGAACTTGATTGCAATAGGAACATGAAAAGGGACGCCTGTTGGAGTCTTGGAGACCACCGTGCCGTGCTTCGAATGGACTATCATGATCCCTTCCCTAAAGAACATAGTAAACTACAATACTTCTTGACTATAACATTATCAGCTGCATGCCACCAGACTGATCAGTGATCACATCCATTGAATTAGACCAATCAGCCCACAGGAAAATAGCCTGATGTTGTATGGCACAGCATCATCTGCCAATATGCAAAAAATGTTTATACCACCCAGACGAAATGCACCAGAGCTGTCCGTATCTTTCCCTTTTGTCAAATCAGCCTACCGTCAAACAGCCACACGTCATACAACAATAAATTTTGGAACAGAACTATGCTATCTAAAACCTAACCCCAGATGCTGTGAGCTAAAAGAACTTTACATAATTTAGCAAAGCTGCGGATGTCGCTTGTCAAAGGACGATAGATTTTGGAACAGAACTATGCTTTCTGAAACCTAACCCCCAGTGTTGTGAGCTAAATGTGACGGTCTGGTGGTGCACAACAGGATGCATGTAGTTCCACTGGCAACCTGGGCTGGTTGGTGCAGTCCGTTGTCCGCAAGTTACAGTTCGAGCTAAAGTCAGGGTAGAAGTGATGATTCGATGCAACGTTCATTGGTGGACAACCATCATTCTCTGGGCTATACGCTTCAGAATATGGTGGTGTAAAGCTCCTAATATTAAAAGAAAGATGATGTCATGGACTGGTTACCGACGGATGGCTTAATCCACGGCTGATTGGTGGTCATCCGGATATATGCTAGGCGCATTCCTTTCAAGGCTCATTGGTGCACAAATTTGGTGATGCACGGCTGCGTGCCCCATGAAAATAGGTCTAATGTCTGTCAACTTGTGGTTATTTGTTCATCTTCTACATGTCAATTTAGGTCTTGTTGTAAGCAATGTGAATGTTGGTTAGGTAATTGAGTACTAGCATTCTAGGATTGTCAAACTAATTATAGAGCAGGACTCCAGAAATTGTTTTCTATTAAGATATGGTGAATTTTTGACATTTTCTTTCCTTATTAATTGTTCCTTAACAATATATATATGTCCTGGTGGTTGCATTGCAAATCAGTGGGACATTAGCTGTTAATTATGTGTTGCTTTGTAACAATTTTATTCCTTACACAATGTAGTTTGTCAAAAATTACTATGATTCTACTATTAATATAGGTTGGCGTAATTTGTTCATTCCCACCTTCAGAATATTTGATCTGGTATAACCTAAAATCATCTGGTTATGAGAAAAATTCATATACAACTTTTTTTTTCATGATACCAGTAACAATCTTTCTTGCAATGATTCACTGGGAACATAGACAACAACAACATGACCATCATCCCTATATTTTATAGGTATCAATATTAATGTTTAATCTTTTAGTTATCACTAGGATTGCTAATCATATATATATATATTTATATATGACATGTAAAACCTTCTAATTCCTGCCACCTAATGCATGAGATTATGATCATGGCAAATGAAGCTTCAAATTTTAATAACCCTCCTGTCATTATTCTCAATATTCTGATGCTTTTACTATCAAATAAGTAAGTATTTATCAAGTCGCAACTATTTTTAAGATTGCTTTAATAGAATTTTCTTACTAGTTATCACAGACATGAGAATCATTTCAGTAGACTTGAAGTGCAATCAACATTAGCTTTGATTGCAGGTGCTCCAGTGACTGAGTTTGATATTTATCAATTTGCATGCAGTGTTGTGTTAGCAGTGACAGAAAATTAAAAAAAAATTTTCATAATTTTCCTTATTCTCCAATAATTTTTCTAAATAATGTTTTTTATTCTTGCAGTGTCAGTCAATAACGTGGCTGTTACTGCTGTAGCTGTTCGACACAACACAACAAAGGTATCATTTACATTGTTTTGCCTCATGTTTTTGAAAATTTGAACTACTATACTGCTAATATTAACTTCTGTGTGACTAAAAACTATTACACAAATTGTTCTTTTTCCCTATTTTTTTCATTAGATGAAGAATTGCATGTCAATTTTTTTTGAGCTTGCTAAAATTTGTCCATGATAGTATTGCTATGCTTGTGAGTGTGATAATGATGGACATAACCTTTTTTCAATGAGAAAATTGTAATTAAACTCTACAAATATTAGTGTTCCGATGAAAATACTTGTTTAACTCTTACCAATTACAATAAATTTGAACCTTACTTACCTTACCTTACTGGAATTTGAATTCCATTGAAAAATTCTTGTTTACTCTATGTCAAGTTATGAAAGTTTTTAACATTCTAGCTCTAAGTTTTGGGATGCATGAGTCTTAACTTGTTACTCTGTTTGTGGGATTTGTTTACTAATGCAAACCATGCACTAACCCTGATATTAGTGCACACTCCTTGTTCTACCGCTCCAACAATCATTTACTTTTGGTGAATGCTGGAATCAATTTCTAGTTAACTATTCAATATCAGCATTTGTTTATCTAATGTGCATTTTTTAAACTTGTTAGAGTTATGCTTGTAAAGCTTCTTCCAGCTAATCTTGTTCAGCAACATCAGCAGCTCAGCTGACCTCTATGGAGCAGTGTTCTAAAATTTAAACACTGGTCACATTTTGCTAAATCCATTATGATTTATGTGTGCCTTAATGTGGATATAGTGTGTGCCTATTTTATTAATGATCTTGTTGTGGCAATTTATTCTGAAGCTGTTTCATCCAGTTCTATGAAATTACCCATGTTATATCAATTTTATAATGACAATGCAGGTTTATGATCCTATCTTGCAGAAAAATGACATATTATGCATTCTATTCGAAGTTTCATCACTGTTGTGACTAGTGAAATTCAGTTCTCAGCCATAAAATAAGTCTTCAATGAATACTTTGGTATTCATTGAAGTCAGCGTTAACATCATGCTTTTGTCATACTGTTGGTGTTTGACATTAGGTACCTTGTTTATGAAGGGTGAACCTCTTGAATGACTATGTCTATGATTGTCAGTAGGTGAAGCTCAAATTCTCTTCTCGACAACCAAGAAATATTCAATATAGATTTTTGGATAAAATTTGTTTACCTCATTTCATTAAATCTTGTTTCATCTTGATTTTCAAATGACAATCTTGTAATTTTGACATGTGTAGCTTATATTTTCAAATTAGGAGGGGTAATGTATTCTTCTTTTGTGAACTGGGAGCTATCCCTTGGATCATGTTTTGATTTATATTAATGCCTACATTTAATCATCCATCAGACCTATGGAAATTTGAGTGATGAAGATCGTATCTTCACAAATCTTTATGGTCGTCATGAGTGGCGCCTGAAAGGAGCTCTGGCCCGAGGAGACTGGTACAAGACCAAGGAGATTCTACTGAAGGGAGTTGATTGGATTCTCAATGAAGTTAAAACGTCAGGTCTTCGAGGCAGAGGTGGTGCTGGTTTTCCTACTGGTATGAAGTGGAGCTTCATGAATAAACCGTGAGAAATGCATGCCTGTTCCTGTTTTTGTTTTATTTGTATAATTTCTTATTATTTTTGTGGGCCAAGAACACACCAGAGATAGTCTCTGGTTGAACACATTATGTTCTTTTTCACATTCCAAAATTTATGTTCTTTTGATTTAATTGAATCTTGATACTTTATCTCCCAAAAATCATTCTCTAGTTAATTGTTCAAAACTTTAACTTGATGATTGTGCCTCAAGTAGAAAAAATAAATTTTATTACATATTTAAGAAGAGACATGAACTTCCAATAGGAATGTATATACGGACTATGATTGAAGCATAATTTATTTCAGTTCGGATGGCCGTCCCAAGTACCTGGTTGTGAATGCTGATGAGGGCGAGCCTGGCACATGCAAAGACCGTGAAATCATGCGTCACGACCCACACAAGTTGGTGGAGGGATGCCTGGTGGCGGGACGCGCCATGGGGGCTCGGGCGGCCTACATCTACATCAGGGGGGAGTTCTACAATGAAGCCAGCAACATGCAGGTCGCCATCAATGAGGTGAGAATCATGAAAAACCTACTACTCGGATGAGGGAAGAGGTTTATAGTTCTGCAGTTTGTATTTCATTCTCGTACAAATGAAGCTACTTCAAGAATACAGCAGAAGCCTGTAGTAGGTATCAAGTGATTTCATTATATCCATCTTGAATGATCGGCTTGATGATGTGAGTTAAAGATACCTTGAACGTCTTGAAAGATACCTTGAACGTCTTGAAAGATACCTTGATCGTCTTGAAAGATACCTTGAACGTCTTGAAAGATGATACCTTGAACATTACACCTAAAAGTTGCTGCTTCATTTCTAATGTATTTTGGATGAGAATTTTAAGTTATTTTTGAAGACGCAAAGTCATGTGGTGAATTTAACATAACAATCAATAACTTTTCCTTTCACCTATAATTTTGTGTAATGTTATCTTGATTTATTTTCACAAAAGCACAAAACAATTTCTCTACTTATTTGGATTACTCAAGGCTGAAGAATGTAGATACATATGCGATGTTTCTATTATATTGCTGTTTCAGGCGTACAAAGCTGGCTTGATAGGCAAGAACGCGTGCGGGTCAGGCTACGACTTCGACGTGTTCATGCACCGCGGTGCAGGCGCTTACATCTGCGGCGAGGAGACGGCGCTCATCGAGTCTCTGGAGGGCAAGCAAGGCAAGCCTCGCCTCAAGCCTCCTTTCCCTGCTGACGTCGGCGTCTTCGGCTGCCCCACCACCGTCGCCAATGTTGAAACTGTTGCTGTTGCGCCTGTTAGTTTCACTTGATCATTCGACACCGGTACCTCACTTATATCATGTTTTACGGTTAATAATTGCATCAGAACTTGAATAATATGAACACATCCGCCTTCTATGGCCAATAAAATAGTTTATTAAGCACTATTGCTAAACAATTCTAACCATGATATTTGATTTATCTTTTCAGATAAAAATCCAAGTTTTATGAGACTAATTACTTTCAGTTTCGCATCGATCTCTTACTAATTTAATCTCAAGATTTTTTATTGACGATTGGAGTTCATTAATGGAATTTATAGGTGTAAATACTTAGTAAATTTCTCTCGGAATGTTTCGTCTTCTGTAACAAGTTTTTTACCTTCCAAGTTTTTTTATGGCCAACCATGAATTGTTCATTCATTCCATAGATCTTTTCACGGTGTTTTTGTGCGTTTTCTTCCATTTTAGTATTGTTGCTAGTTCTATACATCAAAAATATAAAATAAAAGATATTACTTTATGAAATCTATTTTCCAACATCCTCCAACACGGTGATTTTAAGTTAATTAATTGTTGCTAGTCCTATGTATCAAAAATTAAAGATTTTACTTTATGATATCGATTTTCCAACATCCTCCAACACATTAATATTTAATTGGTTATTTTTCAGACAATTTGTCGGCGAGGCGGCGCGTGGTTCGCCTCGTTTGGTCGCACTCGTAACTCGGGCACGAAACTCTTCAACATTTCTGGACACGTGAACAACCCGTGCACCGTCGAGGAGGAGATGAGTGTGCCCTTGAGGGAGCTAATCGAGAGGCACGCTGGCGGCATCGTCGGCGGCTGGGACAACCTTCTTGCCGTCATTCCTGGAGGCTCCTCCACTCCCCTCATCCCTAAGAAGTGGGACTCATTCCGCTAAATTTTCTATCCCACTCCTATTAATTTTCAGCATTCTTTTTTTTTAAACTTTCCCTAAATATATTATAAATTCCTATCTGACTACAATGTCGTTTTCTCGGTATTTTATACCACTTGGCCTCATATTAGTAGCTAACCATTTTATTTCTAATATCTAATATGCGCCTGTTAATACTTGATAAGTTAAGACCCAAACAAGTATTCATAATGCTAAAACTGTGCAGATTATTTTCTATTGATATAATTCTGAATTTGAATGATTGAAAATATTTCTGCAGCTTGGCAAGATTAAAAAAAATACAGAGAAATATAGTTTTTTTCACTGTTTATTATACCAAATACATTGTATAAATAATATAATCTTGCGTTTGACCTAATAGAAATATTTACTAAAACTGACAACTCTGGAATGTGCCTCTGAGTATTTAAAGTAATATTTCGACTATTTTGAATGTAAAAATAACTATTAATTGAAGTGTGTGCGAGTAAACGAAGTAACATTTCGTTTACTTTGACTGTAGAATAACTATTAATTGAAGTGTGTGTTAGTTAATGAAGTAAGTTAATGAAGTGTGTGAAGTTAATGAAGTACACGAAGTAAAAATAACGGTAAATTGCAGTGTGTGCGAGGAGGCGATCATGGACTTCGACGGGCTTGTAGCGGTGCAGAGCGGCCTGGGCACGGCGGCCCTCATCGTCATGAACAAACAGACTGACGTTATCAAAGCCATCGCCCGCCTCATGGAGTTCTACAAGCACGAGTCCTGCGGCCAGTGCACGCCCTGCCGCGAGGGCGTCGGCTGGATGTACAAGATCCTCACCCGTTTCGGTAAGCTGTGTAATTACTGATTGATGGTTGTACATTTTTAAGTTAATTTTCGGTCTTGTGTTTTATTGATGAAGTTAGTTTACACTATGGCAGTTGTAGGAGTTTTCTCGTTTTCTTACATGTTTGTCAGCGTCTTCCGGCAAATGATTACAGTTTTGTTGATATCACAGTTAAGCAAAAAATGGACCTAAGTTGTCAACTTTTAGTTCACTGAAGACGAATACCTTACTTGAATTTGAGGTTCGCTGGAAATAATTAGATGGGTAAATGTATCAACTTGCTTTTTTCGTTGAAATTGTATTGGTATACAGTACGGTCTTAGGTGTGCCGTATTTCAGTTGTTACTGGGGTGATTTTTTCTAGATATTCTCTCAATTGGAATTTTTTGTTCACTATTCACTAATCCTCTATTTTCAGCGTCTCGATGATTTTAATCGTCTCTTACTTAATTTAGAATTAAGCAAAATATGTATTTATTCTGTGATGATTGATCATTCAATCCACGTGTCATTTCAAGCCAATATTTTCATTGTTTTCCTTTGCATTTTCTATGGATGCAGATCAGTTCAGCATAATTAACAACTTGATATTTGTGATTTCAGTGAAAGGTGACGCGCAGCCTGACGAGATCGATGCGTTGTGGGAGGTGTCAAAGCAAGTGGAGGGCCACACGATCTGCGCGCTGGGGGACGGCGCCGCGTGGCCGGCACAAGGGCTTATTCGCCACTTCAGGCCTGTCATCGAGCAGAGGATTGCTGACAGAGACGCAGCAAAAGCCGCTGCTGCTAATTAATCTAGTGTTCTTCATGTTCATATAGGTTGTGGAACCGTAAAAACATTTCAGCTGGTGATAAAAAGTCGCGAAAATTATTTTTAAGTCATTAGCTGACACAGGTTTATTATTCGTTATTTGCTGCTGATATTGATCAATACCGACCAGCAACCATGACGTCAGCACGTAATCAAGAACTAACTAAATTTGACGTTTTATTATTTATCAATAGTAGGGATCAAAATTATCGAGGGAAAATTACGTATAATCTTAGAGCTGCAGAAACGTTTAAATTGATTGAGACTATCAATCTGCAGACGCAGACTGATACACTACTTGTTGATAAAATCGTGAATACTTAATGCTTATCTTAGAATGAATAGAAAACCCTGAACTGTGTGAGCTTAGTTAACATAAAAGACACGAGTCAGGTTTTGTTTTTATGAGCTTTGTTACAGGTTACATGAAATTTAATTTTGGTTTTCGATATGAAGTTATTTGAGGAATTCAAAGCAAACCAGTTGAAACGTTGTGACTAGATAATTTATGTTGAATGAAGAGAATACATTTTTAAAATTAGGTTTAATTTTTTTCTAACAATATCGTAAACAATGTCAATACATTAAGCAAAATCCAAAAAAAAATTTAGTTAAATGTTATGTCTCAAATTGAGAACTTCTGGCGGACATGGTGTTTATCTCCCTCAGTGTACATAAATATTCAAATAAATCTAAAAATAATTCTTATCTTATGATTTTACCTATTCAAGCAGTTATAATAGTTTTCGCAATGTAAAATCTACATTTGTTAAAGGGTTAATTTGAAAAAAAAATTCGAGGTTCAAACGTTTTCAGGCATTTGGGCAATCTACGTAAAATGTAAGCAAGAAAATAGATTCTGAACAGAAAATGAACTATGTAGCTGAGAAATGTAATGACAGACAATCAGGTAATCGCAATGTTGCCCAGGGATGAACAGCCGTGGGAGTTTGAAGTTTCTCGACGTGAACCATGAGTCCATCTTTGTCGACGCCACGCAGAACTCCTGAGACATGCAAGTTGTCCATCATCTCCACACTAACTGGCTTTCCAGTCAAGCTCGTTATGGCCCAAAGAAATCTTTCTCTCAGCTGTGCGCGGCGTTCTTGTATCTCAGGATCCACATTGTCTTTGTTTCCTCTGAGAGAAACATCGTCATATCTGATATCTATTTCTATGCCCGGGGCCATCGTTGTAGTATTAGACACTATTTTATTATTATCATGTTGCGAGACAGTTGTATCATTGGCTTCGTGGCTAAATGAAGTTGCCGACTCGCAGCCATCCTGACTATCGTCTGTTGTAGAATTGGCACTAAAATAATCTTCATTCTGGCGCATGTTCTCCAAAACATCGTCTTGCATAATCAAAACTTGCCTATTGGAAGATTCTGTTTGAATTATCTCAATAGATTGGTTATTTTCCATTTTTAGTTATTCCTTCTGACCGAGCTTATATACCTGTTTCACACCAAAAACTTGAAAGAGGAATTTATACCATTAGTTTGCAATTAAAGAATACGCATTAAAATCAGTATTTGATTTAAAATTTATTATTAAATTGTACAACTGGTAAGTGTAAGGCCAATATATTTGTCAGTACTCAAAAATAACTAATAAAGTAGAAAGATTCGTTTGCTAGATGCATCTAAAAATGAAAGTAAATATTGACTGTCTTGTGATGGCTGATGAGTTTTGGGCTCCATGAATAGAAATGTTTAATGGAAATAACTCAAGTTCGGGAATAATGGATAGGCAGAGCACAGTCCAGTTTGCTGTGTATAGCAAGATTATTAACCCTAACATCGTTTCGTTGCCATCAGAAATCTATTCTATAGATTTCTGATATACTTCTTTCACGAGAAGTCAACCGTCATCATGTGCTGGTAAATTTGTCCTGCCCTACTACGAAATACGAATATCCTACTGTCAATTCTGATAGACTGAAGTTGCCACAAGACTAATGTCGTCGGCCTATAAGGAACAACAAAAAGAAAACGTAAAATAACCCAGAACCCAGTACACTGAGTACAAGACAGGCATTGTCAATTTGTCATGTTGAGGTAGAGAAAAGACACAAGAAAGACATAATTGGAGATTGGCATGTAAGATCACATTAACAGCATTTACTTTACATTTTTAAAGAAATTTTTCATGCAGTTAGTGGTAACAATGCCCTAATCAGTACCTAACATGGAGTTGTAAAAATTACTGAAGGTCCTGCCTGAGGAGGACAGCATGAAGCTTTTTTTAACTCAAGGGCCAAGGCAAAATTCTACTCAGTACCCAACTAACCCAACATAACTCAATCCTCTGAGTGGGAATGTGAATAGTATATAGGGATATAATTGTATATATAGTATATATACATACCCCCCAAGTATATAGGGATATACTTGGTAGTTGGTGAAAGAGGAAAAATTAGCAGTGCAGCATTCCTCACATGAGGCAGTTATTGCCTAAATAGTAATTAACTATATTAAATCTATTGAGACTACTTAGAGTGTTTTGTTTTCCATTTTAATTGACACAGATGAGTCAGGGAGGGATTTTTAATCTAGGTTCCTAAATCCTAATTCCCACCTATAGTGGTTGCACACTTGCACTTAATTTACTTATGGTTGACAATATTACCTGCAAAATATGCACTATAATATTAAATTACATAACAAATTGAATGAGACTGACAATTAAAAATTGAATCCTGGATGGTAAGTACTTGAGAAAGGGCCTCCTCCAAGCCAGTTCTTTAAATTGACAGGGATATTGATTAGTGAGTTCTGTTAGTGATACTGTATTGAATCAGTAAGGTTAGTACAAGCAAGTTAGCAAGACAATGCTTTGGGTTGGGCAACCTAAAAGGACACAAGGGCTGTATGCTAAACTTAGAAGGTACTAGATGTGCTCAAACTCTAACTCAGGTCTTAGTATGCTCAGTTCAAAGTCTGGTCAAGGTGGTCAGTGGTCTCAATGTCAATGGTATATTTTTTCATTGAGGGCCCATGGCAAACTGCTTACTTATTCTTTAATTGATTTAATTAAGAGTGACTGGCATGAATTTTTAGTATTTTTTAATATTGCAATGTGGAAAAGTGCAAAAGTCCATTAATTCAATACATTGAGTGCAATATCATGAATATGACCGGATAATGACCCGCTGGGCACTGGGGAATGGGGGACATTACTGATTTCAATCTGCTGCAAAACAACCAGGTTGTTAATGAAAATGATACAGAATATTTGGAACTCAGATCTCTGAAGTCTGAATATATATTTATGTATATATAAACATTAAACAAACCCAGAACACATAAACATGCGGTGATGCAGAAAACATAAACAGGTATTCCAGGCTTCCAGCTTCCAGGACCCCAGATCCCAGAATAGATCAACAACCTCAGGCGGCGAGTCAGGTCCCAGGCGCCCAGCCAGACCTCACTCTCAGTCCTCACTCCTCAGAGCTGACAGAGCACATGATATTGATAAAGAACCCCAGGGCAGCCCACAGCAGGGCCCAGAATATATCAACAACTGAACCTGCCAGTGGTTTGTTTTTGGAAATCCCCAACAACCCTCCAAATTACCAAATACAGCTAGGTAATTGTATATTTGTATTGCACTCAACCCACCATTAGCTGTATTGCCCAGGCAATGCTGCTTATGCTGGCAGCCGGCAGGCGCCAGGTGGCAGCCTCAGCCTGTGCCTGACAATCATTTTTCATAAACAGGCTGACAAGGACAGTTCAAAACTTCAAGGTGCAACTGTACAAATGCGCTGCAGTGCCAGTGGGCAGTGGTCAGTCCCAGTCCCCACTGGCCAGTGGCCACTGCCTTGCCTCAGCTTAGTTTAATAGCAACTGGCAAATCGAGGATTTTTTATAATCAGTTCATTTTAATTTCCTCATCTACTAAAATTTCAAATTTAAATCAATTTTTATGTATGATTGGCACTTGCCACTTGGCAGTGACACTGTCTGACACATCACGTCAGCAACTAAACTGGCAATGATTGGCTAGCCTTAATTTTGGCTATGTATTTAGTATGTAATAATATGGTGACGGGTCAGCCCTTATTGTTTTGTAAATGAGACACACAAGTGCAAGTGTGCAACAATGAGCTTCGTTCCTCTTCCAATCAGCCTGAGAATGCCTTGGCTTAGTTGCTTATGGCGTTATGAGTTCTCGACAGTCGGCACTGTAATCGTAATGTTGATGCCGCGGACGCAGAAGCATGGTTGAACTCTACTACTTGAACAGAACTGCAAGGTTGAACTTTAGTTCAACCATGCGCAGAAGTATGTAAAGTAGATGAGCAAGCATCTCCGTCTTTAACTTAATCTGCGACACACTGCATCCTTTAGTTTAGAGTTTAGACCGCTTCGGGGCCGACGGGCTCCGGCTGTCAGGCGACGCATAACGTCTCAGACAAATTTACGGCCGGTATCGCGGCCGGACTCTCTACCTGGAATATCTCCCAAAGTACTGAACGTAGCGATGAAACTTGTTACACGTATTCATTATGGCCTAACGGCGATGTCGAGCTTGTGACAATTTTTTGATATCGCCTTCATTCGTGAGTTATATGACGAAACGTGCCGAAATTTGCAGTGTACCAGAGATTTCTTCTAAAATACTGAACAGATTTGAACGAAACTTTGCATTAAGAAACCTAACTTCCCAACGGTGATGTTTAGCTCGTGACAATTTCTTCGATTTTGCCTTCGTTTGCGAGTTATACGGATATACGGAGATACGACCGATTTCGATTAGTGAAATTTGTGTATCCTTTAAAATCTAAGTTTTACCTTACACATCGTATGACTTGCAACACTATAGGTTATTAGCGGTATCACTATAGGTTATTATTAGCGGCAATCACTTTTCACTTCATATATCGGCATATTCTTCTTCAGAGAATGTTGCTGGGAGCGGGTGCTTGTAGTAAAACGTTTTTTTTTTTCACCGGAATTTGGCATCAGTTGGGCTGGTGTCTATGGTGGTGACGCTGTCGCCAGCAGCCGTGATTTGTTTATCAAGGAAACGGTGCCGCCACGAAATTTTCTCTGTTACGTGAGTTCACGAAAACAAGTCGATAATGCTTCGACTCCCCGGCCTACCTTGTTTTTCACCTGCACTTGGCGACGGCGTTGATGGACGGAGTCTTTCATTTCCTCAGCTATAGTTGCAACAATTTCATCAAAAGCCTCCATATGCTCGCCATTACTTTAGTTTATTGATCCTAATTCCACACCGAACTCCACTTGACGGCTTCTTACGACGCACTGGAGTTTGGAGCTTGCGCCTTGCGGGTTGCCGTTTTTTTTCTCGGCGAGAATACCAGATTGCCTAGCTAAAAATACCAGAAATTCTATTGTTCAAAAACAGACTATTATCTCCAAATTTAATGAAATTATTCGTCAGAAACGTTGGTAATAGAAAGAAGACAAAACTTTTATCTTATGTACTTTGCATTTATCTGGCTTGACGATAATTAGCCAAATTGGACACATTTGATTTTTTCCCTCCGTTAGACTGTTTGGAACATTTTGAGACGTTTCTTTTACTGTGTTTGATTACATTGACACCTTTTCCTTTTTTATCACAGTGTCGCACTTCTTCCCCTTCGCTCAACATGAGCAAGCCACGGAAACAGGTCATCGTCAGCCATCATGTTTCCTGTTCATTTCTTTATCACACGACAAAA